CCACCTTATAAGGGCCCTGCCAGGCGGCCTGCAGCTTATCGTGTCGGACAGGTTTTAAAATCAACACCTTCTGCCCGACCTGAAAGCTACGGTCCCTGGCGCCCCGATCATACCATGTGCGTTGGCGTGTCTGAGCCGCCTGCAAATTCTCGCGTACCGTCTGAGTTAAGGCCTCAAGGCGGTCTCGGAATGCCAACACATAGGGTATGATGGGGTACCGTCAGTGCTCCGTTCTCCCTCCCAATGCTCTCTGATCAAATCTAAAGGCCCTCGTACCCTGCGGCCAAACAATAGTTCAAATGGGGAGAACCCAGTGGATTCCTGCGGCACCTCCCGGTAAGCAAAGAGGAGGTGCGGCAGGAACTTCTCCCAGTCCTTGTGGGTCTCTGCGAAGGTTTGGAGCATTTGTTTCAATGTACCGTTGAAACGTTCGCAGAGCCCATTCGTCTGGGGGTGGTAAGGGGAACTAATGACCGGCTTAATGTCACAAAACTTCCAGAGGCGCTGCGTGACTTCGGCGGTGAACTGGGTGCCCTGATCGGAGACAATCTCCCTGGGGAGTCCCACCCGGGAGAATATCTTCATCAGAGCTTCCGCTACTGTCTCAGCCTGTATATTCGTCAGGCCCACCGCCTCTGGATATCTAGTGGCATAATCTACTACGGTCAGGATAAATCTTTTACCTGACGGGCTTGCTTTGTTGAGAGGTCCTATTAGGTCCACTGCTACCCTGCTAAAGGGTTCCTCGATTATGGGGAGGGGATGTAACTTGGCCTTGCGCCGGTCCCCCCTTTTCCCCACCCTTTGACAGGTATCGCACGTGTTGCAATACCTGCGCACCTCCTGGCTAATTCCCGGCCAAAAGAAACTTTGGGTTATCCTGTATCGGGTCCTGCTGACCCCTAAATGTCCAGATAGCGGAATGTCATGGGCTATCCGCTATCCGCAGTAACTCCGCCCGGTACCGCTGAGGTACCACTAACTGCCTCATCACAATCGGGTCTGACCCGGATACCTGCTTATCCGTCTCCCGATATAACAGCTGGTTGTCCCAAATAAACCTTTCGCCCTCCCCCCCAGGCGTGTCTGCTGTCACCTTGTCCCTATACACCTGCAAGGTGGGATCAGTCACTACCTCAGCTGCAAATTCGCTAGGAGGGGCCCAGGGAACACAGTCAGGGGAAGGGGAAGGATCTCTTACCTGGACCTCCGGGAGTGTGTTGTAGTCCTGGGTGCGGGCCTGTTGTCGAGTGACCACAGGGTGAGCTTCTCCTGTGATGGGTGTCTGGGGCTCAAAAGCAGATGTGAGCCTCCCCAGATCATTCCCCAATAAAACCTCCGCCGGTAACTGCGGCATCAACCCCACCTCCACATGCCCTGCCCCCGCTCCCCAATGCAAATGTACCCTTGCTGTGGGTAGCCGGTATACTGCTCCCCCGGCTACCCTGACGGCCACAGTCTAACTAAGTTTAGCTTGGTCTGAGACCAGGTGACTTTTACCAGGGTGATGGTGGCTCCTGAGTCACGTAGCCCCTGAACCGCTTTACCCTCCAGATACACGGTCTGCCTGTGATGCTGGCGGTTGTCTGCGTTAGCCTGGACGGGATCTGCCTCGTGCAGTACCTCCCACTGCTCTACGGTTGTGATGGGAACTGCTGAACCATACGGTGTGGCCGCGATGTCCTGGTAGTGATGGGCTGCGGCGGCTCTCGGTGGTGGTGGTGGACCGGGTCGGATCCAGGTGGAACGGTCCCGCAACTGGGGGCATTCCCTTTTATAATGTCCCCACTTCTGGCAGTGGTGGCAAGGGCCCGACGTGGGCTGGCGGAAACGTGGCTGTGCAGCGGGTGGTGGTGGTGGTGGCAGTGACCTTGGTAGAGCTGGCGTGTAGTTATTTCCCCCAAAGGTTTTAAAAGGTACTTTTGGAGCTGCAGGTTTTTGCTGCCTGCGTGCATCCAGGTACTCGTCTGCCTTCCTGGCTGCTTCGGTAAGGGAGGTAGGGTTTCTGTCTCTTACCCACTCCTGTACCTCGCTGGTTACTCCTTCATAAAATTGCTCCAGCAGTACCATTTGCAATACATCCTCCATAGACCGTGCCTTGCTCGCTTGCACCCACCCCAAGACTGCTCGTTGTAGTCTGCATGCCCACTCAGCATGTGAGTCTTTCTCCACCTTCTTTAGATCCCTGAATCTCCACCGGTATGCTTCCGGTGTTATAGCATACCTGGCCAATATAATTTCTTTCACTTTGTGATAATTCCGAATTTCATCATTCGGTACAGTCCGGTATGCCTCAGCTGCCCTCCCAGTTAACCTTCCTGCCAAAATGGGTACCCAGTCCTCTGCGCTGATTCTATGCAGTGCACACAGTCTCTCGAAATCTTGCAGGAAAGAGTCTATATCTTCCTCTGCCTCCACATATGTTTTAAAAGCCTGGTACGGTATTTTCGGCTTACCTTCATGTGGCATATTTACTGCAGAGCTGCGTTCTGGGGCCGCTGTTTGACTCCTCAGTATAAACTCCTGGACCTCCGTTATCGTTTTGGAAATAATCTCTGTTGGAGGGTGTTCCCCATAGAAAGACAGCCGAAATTGTACCTGCCTCTGGAACTCCCTTTGTTCCGGTGTTTCTCCCGAATTCCCTTGTTCGGGAACCGAATCGCCTTCCATTCGGTACTCCGCCATCAGTTCAGTGATCAGTGCCGCTTTTGTCTTATTGCTGGCTTGTATACCCTTTGCCTCCAGAAGGTCTTTTAGCGTGGAGCGTTTTAGTGTGGCAAAATCAATCTCCATCCGTACTCCATTTAGGCTTGTTCCTCTGTGAGTCTGGATCCCACCGCTGCCAACCAATGTAGCGGAGATGCAATAGTACCCAGGTTATCTCCGCTTATAATCCAAGTGAGACTCAGGAACAAGTAAATAGTAAATCCAAAGGCAGGGTTTCCAGCAGGTAAAATACAGCAATATCCCAACAGCAATCCCAATAACTGGACGACACACAGTTTCAGGAGCATAACTGACAAGCCTTTAATCACAGTCTCCTTATAAAGCATGCTCCCATGCAAGGGAGGAACTTACAGTAATTATTACAGTAGCCAATCCTGTCCTGGTAACCTCCCACACATCCCCTCCCCTCAGCCAGCATCATAATCCCCTTAGCCAGCACACCAATTCCCCCCATTTCTGGATGTACCCCTAAACGTAGGGGTACCCCTTTAAATCATACATCCCCGGGTAGCCCTGATCTGGGTGAACAACATATCCAAAAATCACCCAGATCGGACCAGGGGTTCGGGAAAAGTATGGAGGGAATAAAATGACCGACCGCACGAACAGAGCTAGCCGAATTCGGTTCCATGTGAATGGGCCTTGCGGTCGGTCCTGGCATAAGGGCATAAAATACACGAAAGCCTCTAGCTATAGAGGCTAGGGGGGGTTCGCCTGAATCCCCTCGTTCGGTATTCTCTATTTACCGAACGAGGGGCCGTTCGGTAGTTTGGAACCGAACGGACCAGGGCTGTGGAGGTCTCAGCGGTGTTCGCCTACTCGAGTGTCCGATTTTAGTTCCAGACACTCGACGGCAAAACACCGCTGTTCGGGAGTTTTAAAATGGCCGCCGCCACGTGTTCGTTTGTCGAATGGCGGCCACCCCCGAGAACAAAGGACGGCTACTTACTGTTCAATTACCCATTCGCAACAATGTTGCAACGGGTAATTGAGGACACACTTCACACAGGGAGGTCTGGTTGTTCGGTAGTTTCATTCGAATAAACTAAGGGAATGAACTACCGAACAATCAGAGAAATACAATTCTTTTTCAATACACAGAAAATACAGCAGATACACGGATGCAGCTTTATACAGTATTTTTGTAGGGTCGCCTGGTGCAATCCGCTACAGTTGGTTAGCATGTGATCTAGTGGAAGACAGAGAAGGAGAAGAGATGGTTAAGAAAGTGAGTAAGATTGCTAAAGTATGTGGAATTACCGTACCTCTGTGCGGCAGATTGTAGCCAGAGAGCTGGCGTAAGTTACTGACAGAGAAGAAAGGGAAGCTGTCGGACCAAGATTTGGTTTGTACAGCAGAAGCCTGGTACCGAGTAGCAAGAGCTATTCAGCAAAAGGGATAGGTTGAGGAAGATATTGATCACAAAGGTTTAAGATTGTATGTATATCATAATAATTGTGTTACTGGGAAGTTATCCCAGCAGTGCCCTGTCCAGGAGGTGACCACTTCCATCATCCTGTCAGTAATGACCGAAATGTAGCTGACCATGGTCACCATCCCACCCCAATCTTAAAACGCTGTGGGGTTTTTGTATTTTGTGTTAGCCATTACCCTGGTAGAGGGTGGGGGTATAAATGAAATGTTGTGTTTTTGTGTCTCTTTGCTTTGTAATGTAATTGTCCTTCTGTCTTGTTACTGTACAGCGTTGACATGGTTAAATTCGTGCTGGCAGGCAGTCTCTCTCTTGTTCCACTCAAATCCCCCTCTGCTAAAACACCCCCCCCTCCCCTCGCTTCTGTGAGACGGGGGGGGGGGAGGGGGCGGAGGGGGGTGGTGACATGCTTGCGATTTAGGTCTGTCTCTTCGGTGTTCTGTAGAGTTATTCAGAAGCTACTGATAAGAGTATAAGGTACTGAGGATTGTGGGAGTGACGAGCTCACAAGATTGCATTCAGTGTTGAATACGGGATTTAGGAAGGTGTAGAGGGAATATGCGATGTTGTTAAGTCAGTATAAGAGGAGGAAAGTGATTAATGGTTTGAGGAAGATAAGGGAATTTGGTTGAATTCCGCGAGTTTATTTTGCATCATTTTATTATTTTAAAGTTATTTTAAAGTACATGTTTCTAGAAACAGCTGTATGGGCTGTTAAATGCATAATGTTCTCAACTGTCTTATTTAACCTGCCAGGTCTGTTCATAGTTTAGTATTTCATTTTGCAGAACGGAATGTTGCTTCTCTGACTTATTTTAATAGTTATAATATAGTGTATTGTTGAAAGTGACGTCACTTCCGCCCTTACCATGCCCACACCTCCTGTCTTCCTTTCCCACACCTATCATGGACGTCACCCCTCTCACTTCCTCCCTTGCTGTCATTTCCTTCCCCGCCCCTGTCATGGCTGCCTCCATCATGAGGCCTACCCCTATTATGCTCGTCCCATTTAGAGACATGTTGTAATGTTTCCCTGTATCAACAATGTGTCCGTGATATAAAAAAAGAGAAGGTTGCTAAAATGTAATTTGCAACTGTGGTGTGACCTACAAATGAGATCTGTTGGACACGAATATAAGAGCATAACAGCTGATTATCCAGCTTCATCTTGCAACAAGGGAAATAGCTAAATAATGCAAGTTATTTTAAACATTGTATCTTTACTTAATCGAATCTTGCTAGTTACAGATCTTATGTTTACAGTAACATCCTTTACTTTAAATGATGGTTTAGCATTAGAAGGGTTTGTGACATGTTTATTAACCCAGCCACTACTGGTTATTCATTTTAGTTACAGGGTGGTATAATTGTTATAGTCTAATTGATATAAATGATAGTACCGCAATAGTTAATGTTTTATCCAAAGACATATAGGAACTTTACTTAACTTACTATTAACCATTATTTATAATGATAGACATGTTCAGACTGCAAAAAGCTATGGCTAATGACATACAAAAGGGGTTTGAGTCAGTAACACAGCCCATACTGAGGAGAGCAAACCCGCTGATGCTTAATGCCCCTGCCATGGCAGTGTCTTCAGGGGAACAAGGGGGGCCTCTAGCTACTGTAATTTTACCCATTGAGGGCCAGCCCACCACTTTCCTAGTTGACACAGGTGCAGCCCGAAGTGTTCTGAGAGAACAAGACCTGCCCGATACCTCATTTCTTTCCAATATTGATGTCTCCTGTGTTGGGGTGGACGGCCTTCCAAGGCAAAGTCCCCTGTCCACCCCACTGCGGGTTGGCAACTGCCACAACTTGCTTGCTCGCTTTGTGGTATCTTCCACATGCCCCATTAACCTGTTAGGAGCTGATGTTCTTTCACGCCTGCAGGCATCCATCACCTTTACTCCAGATGGACAAGTGGAACTATCCACCCCTCTATCTGTCTCAGACACCTCAGCTTTGTGCTCCTTACCCCTGATGCTACATCTAGAAGAGCCTCATGGGGATGCAAAAGACCTAAGGACTAATTTCCCTGATTCACTAAAGACTGATGTTCCCAAGAAGCTGTGGTCCACAGGCCCAGAGGACATAGGCCATCTAAAGGTCCCGCCTGTGGTGGTAAAGCTCATCCCAGGCGTAAAATTGCCACGAAAATCACAGTATCCTTTGAAACCAGCTCAAGCTGCAGCCATTACAATTCAAATTCAAGCACTCCTGGAGAAGGGTGCTCTTGTCAAATGTGAATCACCATGCAATACTCCATTATTTCCAGTAAAGAAAAAGACTCCAAAAGGCGAACCAGAAAAGTACAGATTGGTCCAAGACCTCAGAGCGGTAAATGAAGCCACAGTTTTGGACACTCCAATAGTGCCCAACCCACACACTCTCCTTTCCGGCGTTCCACCCTCTGCCAAGTACTTCACTGTAATTGATCTAGCCAATGCCTTCTTCAGTGTTCCCCTGGATCCAACTTGCCAATATCTGTTTGCTTTCACACATGACAAACAACAGTACACATGGACTGTCATGCCCCAAGGGGCACAAAATTCACCAAGTCAATTTGCGAAGGCCATGTGCTCTATCCTTGATCCATGGCAATCTGACCATCCTGAGGTCGTCCTGCTTCAATATGTGGATGATTTGCTGCTTTGTGGAGATGATATACCCACAACAGAACAATGCTCACTTAATCTTCTTTGCTACCTAGCAGAACAAGGATGTAAAGCTTCACGTCTCAAGCTGCAATTCTGCCAACCTACTGTTATTTTCCTTGGCCATTGTCTGTCTCAGGGAACCAGACATCTTACCCGTGACCGAGTTAGAGCGGTACTGGACATTCCACCTCCAAGGACCTCGAAGTCACTACACGCCTTCCTAGGCCTCATTTCCTATTGCCGAGCATGGATCCCAGAAGCCTCGCTCCTTATGCAACCTCTTTATGATGCTCTCAAGTCAGACCCATTTTGCTTGTCCACAGAAGCCCTTGACAACTTCTGTTCTCTCAAACGTGCTATTGCTTCTGCTCCTGCTCTTGGCCTACCAGACTATACCAAACCCTTCAAATTGTTTGTTTCTGAAAGACAAGGCCATGCAACAGGAGTACTCACTCAGGCTCATGGTCCTGGAGGCCGCCAAAGGCCTATTGGATTTTTCTCCTGCCAACTGGATATTGTGGCCAGAGGACGTCCCTCTTGCCTTCGGGCCGTCTTTGCTGCCAGAGAGCTCATTGAAAGAACTGGAGATCTTGTCCTTGGCCACCCCCTGGTTGTCTTGGCCCCTCATGACATTTCTGCCATAGTCAACCAGGTCCAGCTTAAGCATGTTACTCCTGCCAGGCATCTTCGCCTTCAATGTCATCTTTTGTTGCCTGACAACATTACCCTTCAAAGATGTCAAGTTCTCAATCCGTCCACTCTTCTGCCACTCCCTGAGGGGGGTGTATACTACGGATTCATCATGGACGAAATTTATGTTTCTCTTCTCACTGGCACCATCAAGAAGGAAATGCATCCCAACCTATCCTTTTATGATGGACAAGCACTCCTTCATGACGGAGCAGGACATGCCTTCTGTACCATGTGGTACAAACCAAACATCACTCCTGAACCCTGCTATGAAGATGAACTCTATAAGCTGGTTGAAGTAAAACTCACTGCACAAGACTTCTACTGTGATTCTGAAGGCAACAGTATGGTCTTGATTCATCTACCTCCGGAACTCAAGCATTTGTACCGTCATTGGGACACTGCCATTCCACATGTCCCTGTGACCAAGTTGAAAACAATATCATGGAATGATCTTGGGCCTATGGCAAAAGCATGGGCCACTATGGACGAATCACAGCTACAGGAAAATGGTGTTGTCAAATATCCAACAACTGACCACCTAAAAGCATGGCAGCGTCATTTCCTGGAGAATGAGTTCCAAGATTTAACCATAGTGAATGACTACGACCCAGATACACCTCATGACTGTTTTGAACAGATGAAAATGGAAACGAACACATCTACCAACTGTGCATGAAGACCCATTGGTAGATCCCGATCTCACCCTGTTTGTGGACGGCTCAAGATATGCTGATGAAGAAGGAAGATACCATACAGGATATGCCGTAACCACAACAGATGAAATTGTCAAATCATCATCTTTACCATCAACTATGTCTGCACAAGAAGCTGAATTGCAAGCCCTGACTTCAGCATGCAAGATCTCTGAAGGAAAGCGCGCCAATATCTACACGGATTCAAGATATGCACTGGGCGTGGCTCACGACTTCGGATTAATTTGGAAAACAAGAGGATTTCTTACCACCGCCGGTACACCAATCAAGCACGGTTCCGCAATCAAGGAGCTGATGGACGCCCTCCTACTCCCAGAAGAAGTGGCTATTTTGAAGATAAAAGCACATGGGAAGTTGGACTCAGATGAAGCAAAGGGCAACCATCTAGCTGATCAGGCTGCAAAACAAGCTGCAAAAGAACCACAGGAAGTGGAAAGAAGAGTGTCCGGAAATGAAGAAACTCCCATATTTACTCTGCAGACTCTTCCAACTGACCTGAAAATCCTGCTGGAACAACAGGCTACAGTTGCCCCTGAAGAAATACAGAAGTGGAAACAGAAAGGGGCAGTTCTGAAGGATGGAGTGTACTCCAACAACCTCAATTTCTGCCTCCCTAAGAATTTGTACCCAGCAGTCGTACAATGGGCACACAGACCTGCACATTTATCAAAAGATCTAATGAATGCTCTTGTACAAAAATACTACCTCATTGTCCCCATATGAGATTCTATTTGGGACTGCACCTAGGCTAGGTTGCTATTTTCCCCAACAACTGCAACTTCAAACTGATGTTTTAGTAGATTATGTAACTGAACTCGCAAATGCTTTGAACAAAATCCATGCCCAAGTTTTCTCTTCAATTCCAGATCCTGATTCTGACACAGGCAACCACAGTCTGCTCCCCGATGACTGGGTTCTGGTCAAGAAATTTGTGCGAAAACAGTAAATGTCCGTTCCAAGTTCTCCTGATCTCCCCTACCTCTGTCAAATTGGCCGGAAGGCCTAACTGGATCCACGCTTCCCATTGCAAGAAGACACCTGCCCCAGAGGAAGCTAACTCTATGCAACCATGTGCCTCTGGTACATTATCTCCTTAGTTGGCCTCCTTAAAGCCCAGCAGGTGGCCATCACCAAAGATGCTAGTGGGTACACTTTCTGGTATAATTCATCATGTACCCATGTGGCTACATTCACTTTTGATTACTGTGATATTGTAGAGTGCCCATTCCCTAAGTCACAGATTCAAGCCATTTATAAAGATATACCACAAGCAAAAGACCCTTACGTTTGTGTAGTAGATTCAGGGCCGGCGCGTCCATAAGGTTTAAAAACCAACACTACACATAAATGCATGCTTGCATTCAAATGCAAACACTACATACAAACACACCGCTACAATCATACAAACATACTCCATACAAACACATGCTTACAGTCAAACACACAAATACTGCTCCATGCTAAATACAATCCTGCAAGCATGGGGAATCGGTAGAGTCCCAGCTTTCAAAGCATTGTTGAAGTTGCACGGCAGATGGGGATCTATCTTTTAGCCATCCTGTGTACATACACAGACCGTCATACAGAGACATACAGTATGTATGTCTCTGTATGACTGTGTGTATGTATTCAAAAAGAATAAACGCAGGCAACACTCAATAGTACAACACAATAGTACGGATGGTATATTTATTGATAGGTGAACCACCCCAAAGAAAGTGCGTCGTTTCGGCTCAGCAGAGCCTTATTGCATGAGCTGAAACATCACACTTTCTATGGGGTGGTTCACCTGCCAATAAATATACCATCCTTACTATTGGAGTGTTGCCTGCGTTTATTCCTTTTGAAGACTTTACTGGTGGATCCAGCGATGTCCGCCTGACATGGAGCATCCACCACTGTTGATGGCCGGAGCATTTACACGGTATCAGTGTGCAGGGTTCTTTGTTTGTCTGTGTATGTATGTCTCTGTATGCCTATCTCTATGTTTCTTTATGTCAGTCTGTATTTCTGTGAGTGCCTGTGTCTGTATGAATGTATGTCTGTGTTTGTATGACAATGTACCTGTATGTGTAGATTGTATGACTGTGTTTGTTTGTGTGCCTTTTATGACTGTGTGTCTGTATAGCTTTGTGACTGTGTGCCTGAAAAATTATGTCTGTGTGCTTGTATGGTTGTGTGTCTGTATGTTTGTGTATTTGTGCATGTATGTATTTTTGCCTGTGTCTATGTGGGAGAAAAAGAGAGATAGATAGGGGCTGGCGGGGAAGTAAGAAATACATAAGAGGTGTTGTAGGAGACACACTAAAGGGGGGTGTAAGGCACAAAGGGGCCAAAGGGATAAGACATTCAAGAGAGTGGATATGCAACACTAATGGGGGTAAGAAATTCAAAAGGGGGCTACGAGACACAGAGGTGAAGATGCATTGTTTATTTTTTTGGGGGGTCAAAGCCCATGCTGGCTGCATTTGGGAATTCATCATCCTAGGCCCACGGTAGATGAACAATGGGGTTATGACTGTAACTACTGGGGGCTGCGGGATGGAATACTGGGCCTGCCTGGGGTTATAAACCCAAAAGTGCTTTATCTAAGATAGACAATCAGGGTAGATCCCTCCTTCAAAGAATGACTTTAAGAAAGCCTGGAGGAAGTACCCCTATGAAATTAATGTTAAATATTGAACATCCTGGCCCCGAGGATGCAGACCGATATGTAATGGGAACGTATTGGAAGAAAGGTTCCTACAACAAATTAGGTAGTTTCTACCTCAGAGATATGTCCCACTCTCCAGAGTGGCAAGGGGCTGATCATATGGTCCCAAATCCGCTAAAACCACAAATCCAGTCCTTTAAAGATATGATGGCCATCGCTAACCCCACTTTTGAAGATACCATGGCCGCTGAAACTGGATTCAATGACATTAATTTGTGGTTAGAATGGATGAGGTATAATGCCAACAAACATAATAAAACAGCATGTTATGTATGTGGCGGTGCCCGACCCCACCTTGGCACCGTCCCCCTAACTCTCCCTTTAGAGATAGAAGATTGCTTCTTAAGCCTTTTGCCTACCAATATGACTTTAATAGGTCCCTCTGCATGGCATGGACGGCAGAATACCCTCTCTTAGTTGAAAATGTTAAGCCACCAGATGGAATCACAGTCTATAGAGGTAATTACACTTGTTATGCCATGTATGACGGGATTGGTAAATTCATGGGTAATTTTCTAAAGGTTATTGCGCCACTTACAGAACTGTTCCTATACGCCTGTTGCAACACCATACCAGGTCATTGGGGGATATTTACTGGTTATGTGGGGATCTACAGTTAAGATCTAGGCTGGAAACTGAGTGGTGGGGTGAGTGTACCCTGGCCAAAGTTATCATGCCCATTCATATTATTTCTGATAATCATCATGACACATACGACCCTCCACATACATCAGCCAGAGTAAGGCGCGAAACCCCAGTAAAAGGCAGTTTTGACCCCCACATTTACATAGATGCCATTGGGGTGCCTAGGGGGGTACCTAATGAATTTAAAGCTAGAGATGAAGTAGCTGTAGGTTTTGAATCACATTTTACCATAGTCACTGCCAACAAAAACCTTAATTGGATTAATTATATCTATTACAACCAACAGCGCTTCGTGAACTACACCAGGGATGCCCTCCAGGGCTTGGCCGAGCAATTACAGGCCACATCCCAAATGACCTTCCAGAACAGACTGGCCTTAGACATGATCTTAGCCGAAAAAGGGGGGGTCTGTAAAATACTTCCCGACACTATGACTTGTTGCACTTACATTCCAGAAAACACAGGTCCTAATGGTAAAGTCACTCTAGCCATAGCTAAATTAAATAGACTCTCAGAAGAGTTAAAGAGAAACTCTGGAGTTACTGATCCCTGGGAAAAATGGTTTGGTTGGATGACTGGTTGGCAGAGAGCTTTAGTCCAGATTGGTATTGCCTTACTAATTTTTCTTTTTATTCTCGCTCTTCTCATTTGTTGTGTCCTCCCATGCCTAAGGAAATTCCTGCAGAAAACTGTAGACCAAGCAACACCAACCTTCACTCATCTGACAATCGATGATCAAGACCTCATCTCACCCTGTATTCCGCTACAAACTCTCCCTTATACTGATGAAGTGCAGAAAGTCTAGGAAGGGACAGTACAGGGACAGCGTCCGTCTTTATGGGTAGACTGCCGTACGGAGAAGTAGTGGATAAGCCACTATGGGTTACCAGCGGAGTGAAGAGTGTTCCTGAACCGTACTGACGGATGTGCTGCAGCCTGTTAGGGTCAAGAGAGGGATAGACTTGCACTTTGCATTAACACTAAGTCAGCGGTCATGGGGTTTCTGTGTCTTTGGGCTAATACTTCTTCTGATACTAACAAATAAAGTTTTGTCTTTTAGCAAATAACATTTTAGGGGGGACTGTTGTAGAATTATTAGGCCTCTATAAATTTGTAAGGCCCCTTTAAATCCTCTTGCTATACCTCTAAGAGGCCCCCATAGTTTTACAAGGAAGCTTTGTCTATAGAACATAGAATTTGCATGTCAGCAAGAAATAGCTTTGATAAAATGTGTATTTACTAAAATCCTTGAAACTTAACCTTGAGAAACTAACAAGTGCCAGCTACGCTCCAAATGGATAGCTGCCAAAAGGCTCCTCCCGTCGAGTGAGCTCCTCATTTTAACAAGATGGCGCTAAAACCTGTAGGAGTTAAGAAATTACGTAGATAGTGACCTAAGAATGGGGAGGGCATTTTACTAACATCTTAGCACCTAAGCCAATTAACAATGTCTATTTGTCTATATCTTGATTTTCTTCAATGATGTAATAATGCCTTTATAAGGGTCTGCGCACCCATTTTCTGCCAGAAGCCATTAAACTTCTCTGAAGTTCTTTCATTACCCTGAACCTTGTGTCTCAGTGTGAATTTACTTCTGCGTGCACGCAACTTTATTATCTTTAATTTGGACAGGAACAGATAGTCATTCAAACTAATTGGTTTGCAGTAAATCATCTAGAACACTCTCATGGAATATCTTCACAAACTGCTGGTTATATTAAGCACTGCAAAAATAAATCATAAAAAAAAAAAAACAGATCCGTTCAGTACTTCAGTGGAAGATACAGTTTAATGCAGATTCTGCAGAACATATACAGGCTAAATGAAGAACAATCACTGTATAATGTGTCCCCTGCTGTATAGTCCAAAACCACTGCACGATGTCTCTGTGCACCAAATACTGGCGAGATGGCACCGTGTTGAAAAGTCCAAACAGTGTCTGTGATTTAAAATGGCCGCAATCCATTGTTCTCACCATGTGCTTCATCCATTGTTCTCACCATGTGCCTCTGATACAGGAAATGGTGGCCACCCAGTAACTCCACAGTATGTCCCCAGATGGTTCTTAAAGGGCAAGCAGCAGCACAACACAAATCCCTTATGCCCAAATCATGTCTTTAAAGGGCAATACATCCCAGGGGCCATAGTCACATGGCAGGAGGCTGGCAATCAGTCTTCTCCAATGCCCAGTGGCGAGGTCGGTTTTGCCACATCTATTAAACAGTGAGCAGCTCACTATTAAAAAAAAGGTCCCCCTCCTGAGCCCCCACCCATGACGCGTGAGTAGGGGCTTTTAAACTAAAGGGGGGACCTATTGCCCCCCACGGCCCCCACCCCTGAAAGGCGGGTGGGGGCCCTAAAGTAAAATAATGGGGGGGACCTATTGTTCTCCCCACCCGGCCCCCACCACTGAGCAGCGGGTGGGTACCCTAAATCAGAATAAGGGGGGGGACCTAATGTCCTCCCCCCTGGCCCCCACCCCTGAGCGGTGGGTGGGGGGGCCTAAATTATAATAAGGGGGGACCTAATGTCCTCCCCCTTTGCCTCCACCCCTGAGCGGTGGGTGGGGGCCCTAAATACTAATAAGGGGGGGACCTAATGTCCTCCCCCCTGGCCCCCACCCTTGAGCGATGGGTGGGGGCCCTAAATACTAATTAGGGGGGAACTAATGTCCTCCCCCCTGGCCCTCACCCCTGAGCAGCGGGTGGGGGCCCTAAATAAAAAATTAACCCCCTCCTCCCCAGGTAACTAGGGGTACCCAGCAAACCTGGTCCCCATGGCACTGCCTCTTTTTTGCAGATAAAAAGAATTTAAAAACCAAAAATAGTTATTTTTAAAAATAATGTTAATACCTTCTAAAATAAACTCTATTTGTTGACCTGCAATTTTCCCTTCTTTAACTAAAATTTATTTTTATTTTTATTATTGGTTTTTAAATTCTTTTTATCTGCAAAAAAAGAGGCACTGCCATGGGGACCAGGTTTGCTCCCAGCTATGCAAACTTGTTTATGGCTGATTGGGAGTCAGAAGCCATTTTTAGTAATCATGCGTGGAGAGCAAACCTGGTCTCCTTTTTTAGATATATCGATGATCTTTTTTTTATTTGGGACGGTACTGAAGAAGCCCTCAACTCTTTTATTACTAATCTTAATCTGAACAACAGAGGTATAGTCCTTACCTATGAATATAGTAGAGAACAAATTAATTTCTTAGACCTTGATATTTTTATAAAAAATGGAAAGGTACATACAAAGACTTTTTTAAAAAGGTTTGTGTCAATACTGCTATTGACAAAAATAGTTGTCACTACCAACCGTGGTTAGACAGCGCCCCAAAAAGTCAAATACTTAGACTTAGGAGGAATTGTTCAGAACTTAGAGACTTTGAAATACAAGCAAACCTCCTAAAAGATAAATTTGTCGAAAAAAACTACTCAAAATCAGAATTAGAAAACACCATTATGGCAATTCAGAAAAAAGAACTTTTAAAATATAAACCCAAAACTACAGACACAAAAATGCCTTTACCAATTATTTTTAATTTTAATAATAAGAGCAATAATGTTAAAAAGGTTATAAGAAAACATTGGCACCTTCTAAAACAAGATGAAATACTAAATAAAATTATACCGGAACGTCCGAATATTATATTCAGGGGTGCCCAAAATTTTAAATCTATTCTGACCAACAATTTTACAAGAGAAACTAAAAAAAACCTCCTATATCATTTTTTCCACAAATTAAAGGTTTCTGTAAGTGTAAAATGTGTATTGTGTGTAAAACTACTAACCCTGATGAATGGATACTTAAATCATTCAGTATGCAAACATTTTATTATACACAATAAAGATCCTAAAATGTTGAAATGTATTGCC